TAAATTGGGGACTTTAGGGGACGCTATGAGACACTATGAAACATCATTTTGTTCCTGAAGCATGGAGGGAGAGCAACACACACCTCTCTGGGGCAGCAGTGGGAAGGGTGGCTCCCATGTCCTGCCCTCTGCCTCATGGAGACATCAACCCTCAGTGCCCACTGCCCCAAGAAGCCAACCAGCCAAACACCAGGACGAGAAGAATGCCTGACAATAGGTTTCTGCAAATAGCCATCTCAGCCTCCCACATTCACATCTCTGAGTCTTCCTCTCTCACACGAGTTCTAGGCTGGCCCAGCAGAACCAATAGAGTATGGTAGAATAGCATGATGAGTCCCAAGGCTAGGTAAGGAAAAGCCTTACCACTTCTGCCTCAATGATGTAGAATGCCTGTGCTTGTGACAAAGCCTCCATGCTGTTGAGAAGACTGAATGCTCTGGAGAAGCCACGAATGACATCCCAAGTGCAGTCTTAGACCTCTAGCCTAGGCAAGACTTCCTCTGGCTTCAGCCCCAGCCACACCTCTATTAGAGGCTACAAGTAGGATCCCAGCTGATTGCTGTGAACTAACTCCCTGAACCATGGAGAAGAAATGATTGACGGTTGTCTGAAGCCACACTCTGTGTGAGGGTAGTTTCTGTACAGCAGTTGATGTATGGAGTATGATGTGTGGCCACATGACCTAAGTCATGATGAGGGCCAAGGAAGTAGACTGGTTTTTCCTATCTGAGTTCCAGCTGTACCTCAGCTTCCCATGGCCAAGCTCTCTGGCTTGTGGAAGAGCATAGTTGTGTAGGATGGCCTCAATAATTAACTAACTCTTAAGGCCAAGAGATGACAAGCCCAGGGGTGGCCAGGGGCGACTCAGTGTGTGAATACTTGCATTTAGCTTTGGAGAATGAGACAGTCAGAGCTGGTTTTGAATAGATTGTGAGCTCTCAGAGGCAGAGACTTGTGTCCCCCAGAGCCTAGCTCTTGCCAGGCACACAGAGTTCCTCCGCCACTGAATTAACCTGACTGAATCGAGGCGGGAGGCTCTGTGGGTAGGCCTTCTGGTCTGAGAAATCTTTCAAGAAGTCTTCAGCACAGGCCAAGCCAGGCCAGGTACCCTGCTGTGTCTGCTGCCTCTCCTTGTCACTCAAATGCCCAGGGCTGGCTGGAGTCCTGAAAGTGCAGAAGCCAAGGCCCCTGGCCTCTGGGAGCGCTCACGGTTGACACAGCAGGGGGTTGACAGAATTCCAGTGGTAGGTACTGCCCAAAATGCCACCAGCAAAGACAGCAGAATTAAACAGAGCTGCCAGCTCTGTTCCGCGAGAGGAAGAGTAGGTGGGTTTGTTTAAAATACTCCTATTACAGTCAGTTAACCTTTATGTTCCCTAAATGAAAATTGTATAAACCTGAAATTTTCGTTGATCAGGTTGCCTAGGAACAGGCAGCAGGTTTTCATAAGACAATGCAATAGATTGTCACCGATAGGGCTATTAGGAAGCGAGCTGGTTAGCAGCATTATTCCCTATCCTGGTGTCGTGCTAGGTAATTATCTGTCTGCCTGTGCAGGGCCCACCCACTTTCCTGGGCTGGGGCAAATTCATGCAAATGAGATTTCTCAGTTTGCTTTTATGAGTACTCTGGGGGCCTGGGAGCCAGTCCCCTGGGGGTCAGTTGCTACCCCCAGATATAGGAGAAAAACCTAGAAGACTCAACATCAACTTACTTCCTTTAATTTTTTTCCCTACTTGCCACAATAATTCCCTAATAACCCCATTGGTTACAGACTTACTGCATTGTCTTAAGAAAATGTGGGAAATAAAACTTGGAAAATAAGCTACAGCAGAATGCACAAGGGAAATTGTCAGTCTGTCCTGGGGGCTTGTCCTTGCTTGTTTTTTGCTGTCATTGCTGCTGCTGTTTGGGTTTTTTTGACCAAGTCTAGTGCCCTACCATTTGAGCACACCTCCACTTCCTTAACAATGGAGAAAAGTTTTAAAGCTACTCTGAGAACTTTGGTCAGTCTGGTTACTATACACACACACTTGTTTGTTTTCCCCAAAGTCGCTTCATTCATTTTGGCCTTCTTACGTGTAAGGTGATCAGACATCCTGGTGTGTCTGGGACTGTGGAGGTTCCCAGTTCCAATGTCTGCTGTCCTCAGGTACTTGCTTTCCTGTGGTATGTAGCATTCACTCAGTGTAGACAGGCCAGACTCAGCTTAACCAATTCATGCCCTTTCGACTTTGAAGATATATAAGGGATATATATGATATATGAAGATACATATATATATATATATATATATATATATATATATATATGCTGGCACATACCCTCATCCATATGTCCTTGCAGTATAAATCATTACAAATAGAATTATTGGGTCAAGGAATGGACTTTCTTCTGGGTTTTGGTATATTGTCGGGTTGCCCATCAGAATACTACATGACATTCCCACCTCTCCTCATCCCCACAGGAACTCTTACATCAAGCAGTGTGTTCATCACTGCCAATCTGACAGACAAAAATGTATCTTACTTTGGGGATGTGTTCCTCTTTATGAGCCACTTGTGAACTGCCTGTTCATGTCTTTTACCCATTTCTCTTTCCTGATGCTCAGCTCTTTTAAACTATAAAAACAGACTCCGTGTTTAATCTCAAGTTGCCTGAGAGTGGTGATGGTATAGGTTGAATGGAAGTGGTAGCATCACTAACCTGGAACTTGTAAAGATCCAGCTTCGAAGTTTGCGCCTGCAAGGGGTGGCTTCCAGTATGTAACCCAAGCCTCCTGACAATGACTTTTCTCATCCATGAGACTGAGCTGAGGCTGAGTGGCCTGGTTTATGTTTTATATTTTAGTTTAGTTTATATTTTAGTCTTGAATAATGAGCCACTTTATTCAATGTTTATAAAACATTTGGGGTTATCAGTCTTTACAGAGCAAAAATGATCAGTGTTAAAAGAACAAAAGTGCTACCCTCTGACAGTTCATGCCTGTAATCCTAACTACTCAGGAGGCTGAGATCTGAGAGAATCATTGTTGGAAGCCAGGCAAGGCAGGAAAGTCTATGAGACTCTTATCTTCAATTATTCACAGAAAAGGCCCGAAATAACACAGTGGCTCAACTAGTAGAATGCTAGCCTATACAAAAGGAGCCCAGGTACAGCACCCATGCCCAGAGTTCAAGTCCCATGACTGGCAAAAAAAAAAGATCAAACAAACATCAGCAATATCATTGATTAAGGGGGACATTACCTCTTTAATTGAAGTATTTGGGATGAGAGTATCTCTAAAAAGAGTAATTTAGGAATGTGTGTATCTGTGTGTGCACGCCAGTACTAGGCCTAGTCCTGGGTATGGGTTTTGTCCCTGAGCTTTTTGTGCTCAAGGCAAAAGCTAATGCTCAGCCACTTAAGTCACAGCTCTACTTTCAGGTTTTTGGTGGTTAATTGGAGATAAGAAGATAGCATATTTTTGGGCTGGGAAGATGGCTCAGTGGTAGAGCTCTTGCCTTGCATGCCTGAGGCCCTGGGTTCGATTCCTCAGCACCACATAAGCGAAAAGAAAAAAGCCAGAAATGGCGCTGTGGCTCAAGTGGTAGAGCACTAGCCTTGAGCTGAAGAGCTGAGGGACAGTGCCCAGGCCCAGAGTTCAGGCTCCACGACTGGACCCCCCCCCAAAAAAAAACAAAGAAGATAGCATATTTTCCTGCACAGGCTGACTTCAAACTGTGTGATCCTCAGATCTCAGCCTCCTGAATAGGTAGGATTACAGGCATGTACCACCCAGTGCTTAGCTTGGTAGGTTCTTTTTTAAACCATTTATACTGCATACAATGTGACTTGTTCTTTTGATCTTGGGCACTCAGATCAAATTACAGTGATGCCCTCCGCTGCTGTGGAGCTCAGTGTAGCTTTGGCTCCTATGCCACATGGCCCCAGACTGCTTTTTTAGTAAGACAATCGATTCTTCTTCCTATATCAGTATCAGACTGCATTACTGTGGGCTGCTGCAAGCAGCCCTGCCTTACCCTGCAACAGCCCATCTTCATCAGCAATGGGATTGACTACCAGCTCACAGTGCCAGTAGATTTGTCTAGAAGAACGACGTGCTGAGCAGGACTGGGTGCCCTAGGCAAATAGCAGAGGCCCTTTAGCAGGCCATGGTGCATTCATTTCCTAGGGTTTGTGTTTTGTATTGTTAGGGTTGTTAACTAAATGATTCCTGGATGAAGATGTAAAGTAGGATTAAGACATTTTGAAGGCAGAATGTAAACTAAAAAAGTTAGAAACTGCTTGAAGATAATAGGTGCAAGTGAACACCAGATAGAGGAACAGAATCAGGGTTTAATCTCAAGTTCCCTGAGAATGGTGATTGTATAGACTGAATGGACATGGTGGAATCACTAACCTGGAAATTGTAAAGATCTAGCTTGGAAGCTTGCGCCTGCAAGGGGTAGCTTTCAGCATGTTACCCAAGCCTCCTGACGATGACTTTTCTCATCCGTGAGATTGAGCTGAGGCTGAGTGGCCTGTTTTATAAGAGATAGAATCAGATGACCTGATGTGAAGAGCCCCTGGCCTGAAGGAACATCAGAGGGATGCGTATAAAGGGCCACACAATCAGGAGGGATGACGGTTACTGCTGCTTTTACTATTCTTCAGGCGCATCTGTAAGCCATGGCTGCCTTCTTTAAAAAAAAAAAATCTATCAAGCTTTCTATACAAGCTTCCATCTGAGCTCTAGCCTGTATGTGTATCTTTAACTGCCGTCCTTGCTGCCCTTCCAGAACCTAATTTCATCCTTGTAGGTTTTTCCAAAGCAGGATTTGCACGAGTGGTGTGTTTCTTAAATATTTATTTTGCAGGCCATTTACTCGGCATGGCTATTTTTACAGTGAGTAAGGAGCAAGTCTAAAAATAACTTAGCTCATAACCAGATCAGTTCTGCATTTGACATTTACGTGGAATTCATTTGCATCTCATTTGTTGGCCTTTCTGTTTAACAGGTAGAATGTAAGAAAGCTCAGCCGAAAGAAGTCATGTTTCCACCTGGGACCAGAGGCCGGGCCCGGGGGCTGCCTTACACCATGGATGCATTCATGCTTGGTATGGGGATGCTAGGTGAGTCTGGACAGGGGTCAGGGTTCTGGTGGACAGGGAGGGCGATATGGAGGTCTATGTGCCCATCAGAGTCACCTGCCACTTACGGGAATAGCAGGAGCCTCAGCTTCCTTGTCTTTAAATGAGGATGACCAGATAGACATATACATGCATATCATTTTCGTCTGTGCCTGACGTGTTTCTACCCTCTGTTGTTTCCTGTGCACAAGTTGTTCCTTGTGCCTAAGCCCTCTTAGCCCAGTAGGGTTTCTAAGAACTAAAGACTCCTGACTGGTTTCTGTGTGAGCTCACGCTACAATCTTCTAAAACTTGGGAGAGGAGTAGAGGTGGCGGCATGGGTGGGAGGGAATCCTGTCTATTTAAATGATTAACATTTTTCTCTTGGGATATCAAAATTTGCATTTAAATGGATGTTTTAAATAGCCTGTTTTACTCTTTATTTGCAAAAAAAAAATGATGAAAGACAAAGTGTGTTTGTTCTGACTAAAAATGATCTCTCCTGGCTTTTAGAGAAATTGAGTTGCATATTATATGCCCCTTTCCTTAAAGGTATCTCTGTCCGTCCTGCACAGATAATTGAAAATCTCACCGCCTAAATGGTATGAAAGATGGGGAAAGCAGAGGAGATGCGGAATGGTGTGGGTCGCCACAATAATTAGAAATTTCAAGGCGAGAGAGCAGTATTTTAGTGGAAGTTATTGTGTGTCAGGAAAATACTAATTAAATGGGATAAATGGTAGTTAATGGTAAAATTCCATTCAGGCACATGAGCTGTCTAGTTTTAATGGGTTTTCATTTAGTTTGGCTAAGAGTCCCTCTTCTATATTGTTTGATAAGCTCTTTATATATTTTCAGATTTGCTGCTGTTTAAATCATTTCTGGCTTAGTTTTAAATTTATAAAACTTTCCTTGGTCTTACAAAGCATTCTACTTGTCTGTGAAAAATAATAGGGCAGGTAAAGCTGTTTTGAGTTCCTTTAAAAATGGAGAGTGATGCCATTTGAGAATAGTTAAAAATAGCCAAGATATTAATTCCCCACAAATTTATTTTTTCAGGTTTAACAGTTTCCAAGAAAAAAAAAAGTCTTATTAGAGTTCTTTGAAAACTTTCCAGATGATTCTAAAACTTACCTAGAAGAAGAAACATGTGGGAATAAATAAGAAAATATATTCTTAAAAAGAGAAAGGAGGGGCTGGGATAGTGGCTCAGTGGTACAGTGCTTGCCTCGCATCCATGAGGTCCTGGGTTTGATTCCTCAGCACCACTAAGCAGAAAAAGCCAGAACTGGCACTGTGGCTCAAGTGGTGAGCACTAGCCTTGAGTTGAAGAGCTGAGGACAGCACCCAGGCCCAGAGTTCAGGCCCTAGGACCAGTCCAAAAAAAAAGAGAGAGAGAGAGAGAAAAAAAACACTGGTTTGGCTAAATACCAGAACATAGCTCAAAGCTGCAATCATGAAAACGGTATGTTATACAAGGTTGTCCCCACCTTACAATAGGTCAACTTAACAAATTTTCTACTTTTACACTGGTGAGAATGCAGTGTAGATTCACTGAGTGCTGGCTGTACATGGTCCCATATTCTCTAAAGGTGCTAGATGGTAGTGGTGAGCCATAGCACCCACTTAGCCCCTCTTAGGAGAGTGACTCCACTGCACACTGTATTGTGAAGCTGTGGTGTTTTGTGGGCTAGATATGGTTTTGTTGTTTTAATCAGTTGTGGGGCTTGAACTCTGGGCCTGAGCACTGTCCCTGAGCTTTTCAGCTCAGGGTGAGCTCTCTACCACTTGAGCCATAGTGCCACTTCCAGTTTTCAAATGGCTAATTGCAGATAAGAGTCTCATGGACTTTCCTGCCTGGGCTGGCTTTGAACCATAATCCTCAGATCTCAGCTTCCTGAGTAGGTAGGATTATAGGTGTGAGTCACTGGTGCCCAGCTTAGATGTGTTTTATATATAAACAGAGTACTAGGGTTTGAACTCAAAGCCTTTGTGCTTGTTAGGCAGGTGCTCTAGCCACTGAACCATGCTTCCAACCATTTCTTTGGTTATTTTTGAGATAAGGTCTCACTTCCTGCTCAAGCACACATGTAGACTGTTGACTTCATATCGTCTCCTTCCCACCATAGCTAGGATGAATATGTACCACTACACCAGTTTCTTAACACTGAGATGGGTCTCACAGGCTTTTCTATTCAGAGATCTTCCCATGCCTGTGCTCTCATTAACTTAGAATGATAGGCACATACCAACATGGCCAGCTATTGGTTCAAAAGGGGGCCTTCTGTATACCCAAGGCTTGCCTCACTCTGGGGTCCTCCTGATCTCTAACTCCCAAGAAGCAAGAATTACAGATGTGAGCCATCAGCACCCAGCTTTAACTTAAAACACTTTTGGCTTATTAACATATCAGGTCATAATCTTAAGTGTTAGAATTATATGCAGGAATATATACTTATTGATAGAAGATGTTAAAGAACCCCAAGTACTCCTACATAAAAGTATAATTATTAAGATGGTATTTGAAATCAGTGAGAATGATTTCCTGATTATTGGGATACAGTTGCTTAGGTCTTGCTTTAAAAATGTTCATTTATTTGATTTGATATTATATCTCAAAAAGAACTTTGATAATTTCAAATTGATGATTTTAAATGTTGAAATCAAACTTAGAAGACTTGAGCCAGCCAGGTGCTGATGGTTCACACCTGTAATCCTAGCTACTCAGGGAGGCTGAGATCTGAAGATCAAGGTTCCAGAAAGTCTGTGAGACTCTCATCTCCAATTAACTACCAAAAACTGGAAGTGACACTGTGGCTTCAAGTGGTAAGATGCTAGCCTTGAGCAAAAAGAACTCAGAGACAGCGCCCCACAACCGACAAAAAAAATGGGGAGAGTTTAGCCACTTGTTGGCTTTTGCAATTGAAATTGAGTAGAGAGGCTCTGGGCATCAATGAGGGCCTGTCTGGAATCCAGATATACAGGAAGCACTCACCTTCCTGAGCCCACCTCGACAGCCCCCCTAACCTGGGAAGAATGTACTGGTTGTACAGTGGGGAAAAGCAGAAGTTTCAGTCAAGAACAAAAACACTTCCCATATTCATCATTCCAGACTCCACAGACAGCCAGGCCTGGGTCCCCCAAATACAAGGGCTTCCAGGACTTTGCTCATGGGACCCATAGCAGGGAGAGGGGCAGAGGGTATTCATAGCAATATCCTTTGGCTTCTACTATGTATCCCTGCCCTCGCGGAGCTCATGGTATAAGGAAAGAGATACACACACCACAGCTCATCTCCAGGAGGCCTGGCTCATCCTCGCAGCCCAGGGTTGCTGTGAGAGCATGCAAGGAAGGGTGGAGGGGAGTCTAGGAAGCTGGTGGTGATATTTGGGCTAGGCTGGAATGGATGAGTAAGCCCAGGGCCTTTCACTCCATGGGGACATGAGGATCCTGAAGTAGAACCTCAGACCAAGGACAGGAGTAGTGGCTGGGGACCTCAAGGTTAGCTGGGCCTTCAGTAAGTGGGCAGCCCTAGTGGCCTCATCCTGAGAGCACCTACAGCGGTGATGGCAGACAGGACACAGACCCTGGGCTTCTGCAGATGCCATCTGAGTCTCCCACTTGCTCAGAAATGACTGTGATGAGTGCCAGATGCTTAGTCACCTGCCCTGATTCTTTCCTGCGTGTTTCAAGTAGTCTTTCCTGAGCCATGGTAGAGTAGTGTTAGTTAAAAATAGCTCTGTATCCTAGAGCTCCTTTGTTCCTGCTCTATACTCCCCCTAGCCCTTCAACCTCCACTCTGCTGCTTAACTCTGCTTTAACTCTGTTGAACCCCCAGTCCTGCCCCAGCCCACGCCTGGTTAACAGTCTCAACCAAACAGAGAGCTAGTCCTATGGAATTGATAGTATCAGCCCTAGCCTAAACAGAGCTCTGAGGGGCGGTGTAGCTCAGGGGGACAAGCTCAGGACTTTGGAAGCAAGAGGTCTGGACTCCTTATCCCTGACAGCTGTGCAACTTGGAAGAATTGGCTTGGCCTCTCTGGTCTTCATTTACCACCACCCATGAGAGGGACAATCATCTCACTGTATGGAGTTGTTGCAGGAGAGAAACTGAATCTTAACTGTCAAATGCTGTATTTCTTGAATTTTAGATGCCCTGGCTAGCGAGGTAAATCTTCATATACCATTCAGAAAGGGGAGAAAATGATGAGTGAACTGCCTGGTGCTGTCCTGCCACACTGCCTGGGAGATGGGTCTCATTTACAGAAATGTGAAAATGTAAGGGAGAAGAACATTTCTTCACATCCCTAAGGTGCAGTTGTATGGAAGCTGTTACAAGTCAGGGACTGGAGGGCTTTGGGCACATGACTACAGGAGCAGGTGGCTGGCACCCTTACCCCTTGGGAGTCAGCTTCTGCCTAGCAAGACCCACAGGGGTGACATGTGTTGTGGCAATGGCGGTGTCTTCTCAGCCCCAGCCTCGAGAGTCCGATGAGTCATTGCAGTGTCTTACTTCAAGACCAGGACCTATATGGTGGTCCAGTCTTCTGCAGCCCAGGTCTCCTGAACTGCCCAGTCGCTGTGCTGAGGCCCTCTGATGTCTGCTGAGTAAGGTCTCCCAAGAGATCCTAGCTAGGAACCTACTTAGCTGAAGTCTGGGGAGAAGGGATGTCACGCAGAGTATCTAGGAAGCAAGCTCACTGTCTCACGGTCTACTGGCCTGTCGCCTCCCCGTCAGGCCACCAGCTCCCAGTGGCCTCTCCGACACACTCACTGCAGACTCCCTAAGGCTGCCCTCATGTCACCTAATGGTGCAGCTCAGCACTTGAGGCTTAGGTTCTTTTAGGTGAGGACCCTGCCATCTGTACTGCCAAATATTTATTGAGTATGTACTAAAGGCCTGGCAGGCGCCCATCTAAAATACGGAATGTGCAACAGAGAACAAATGCTCTGATCTCAGAGAAATAATGTCCATTTGGGAGCCTGCGTGCTGGCCTATGAAT